ACAACCTATTTTTCCACCAGAAACATCTGCTGTTGTTTCAGAAAATCCATCCTTTCGATCAAAGGTACTATCGTTCTTTATAAAAAGATGGTTTTGTTTGACATATCTATGGTATTAATTGTGTGAACTTGGAATTTTAGCCCAAATGGCCAGAACAGTCTGAGGAGCTCTTAGGTTTAATTGTAAACTCACTAAGAACCCTTGATGGGGCTGTTCCACAAGGCTGTCCTGAGCCACGACGGCGTCCTCAGTCTGCACGCAAAATTTCTGTTGTGTTGGACAAAGCTCCTGAGCATCTGCAAGCTGACCTTGTAGCACTGGTTCCGAAATTGGTCGACCCTTCAGAACATCCACTAGCTGCCTGTGCACTTCTTGAGCGACTTCAAAAGCCTGATGCAGAACCTTCCTTTCGAATGCCTGTAAGATAGGCTATTGTTCTTTTCCTCAATGCCTTGTTGAAGGTGTTATTCTATCATATCATATGCATCAAATGTCCTGGGAAAGCGATTTTCAAATGTAAACTGTTTTTGAAACATTGAAATGATGCTGTGTAAGGCCACATTGTATTTCTCTCCTATTGATGAGATTTTTGTTTGTTAGGTTTTTGAGGCTCTTAGTCAACTGGAGTGTGATAGTGAAGTGTGGGAACGTGTTCTATGCCAATCATTTGAGCTTTTGGCTGACTCAAATGGTGAACCCCTTGCTGCAACTATAGATTTTATATTCAAAGCAGCATCTCAATGTCAACATCTTCCTGAAGCAGTAAGCTTAAACATAGTTTTAAATTTCCATCATGTTCCTTGAGTAGCTTCTGCCATCTTTTTAGAATATCTTTTGAATCTTTTCTGACCTTATTTTCACCTTTATATAGGTTAGATCTGTTCGTGTAAGACTGAAAAATCTTGGTCTTCAGGTTTCACCTTGTGTCCTTGACTTTTTGAGCAAGACTATTAATAGTTGGGGGGATGTTGCTGAAACTATACTGAGGGACATCGATTGTGATGATGACTTGGGTGACAGTTGCTCAGCACTGTCATGTGGACTTCTCTTATTTGGTGAGGATGGTACTGCTCCTAGTGGATCGGTCGATGAACAGGCTTTCCGATCTAGTTGTTATTTTTCTGATATTTACATGCTGATTGAGATGCTATCAATTCCCTGTCTTGCTGTTGAAGCTTCTCAAACCTTTGATAGAGCTGTAGCTCGGGGTGCAATTGGTGCTCAGTCTGTAGCCTTGGTTTTGGAGAAGCGTGCCTCCCAAAGATTGACTAATAATTCCAGAAATGCTGGCGAAAGCTTTCCATGTTTAGGTGTTGTTGCAGAGGGAAATGCCAATGAACCCTTTGGAGTTCAAAGAGATGATTTTACTTCAGTTCTTGGTCTTGCTGAAACATTAGCACTGTCCAGAGACCGATGCGTGAAAGAATTTGTAAAGTTACTCTATATGATATTGTTCAGATGGTATGCTGATGAATCTTATAGAGGGACATTGCTCAAGAGGCTTGTTGACCGTGCCACCAGCAGTACAGATAATGGACATGAAGTAGACTTAGATTTGGATATTTTAGTTACTTTGATCTGCGAGGAGCAGGAAATTGCTGGACCTGTTTTGAGTATGATGCGGGCAGCTGCTGAACTTGCAAATGTTGATCGGTCTGCTCTATGGCACCAGTTATGTACCAGTGAAGATGAAATCATTCGTCTTCGTGAAGAAATGAAAGCTGAGATTTCCAATAAGGCTAAGGAAAAAGCTATTCTTGCCCAAAAACTGAGTGAATCCGAGGCCACAAGTATTCATCTCAAGGTTATATATGTCTTATTTGATAATATACCTGGGTTATCTCTTGTAGTTGACGACTAGTTGGAAATTTTGGATCTGATGAGTTTCATGATTTGACAGGCTGAAATGAAGTCTGAGATGGATCGGTTGGCTCGGGAGAAGAAGGAACTAGTTGAACAAATACAAGAAGTTGAAAGTCAGCTTGAGTGGCTTCGTTCAGAGCGGGATGATGAAGTAGCAAAGCTCTCTACAGAGAAGAAAGCTCTTCAGGACCGTGTGCATGATGCAGAGGCACAACTGTCACAATTGAAGTCTCGAAAACGTGATGAATTGAAGGTACTGCAATAAAAATCTCTATTTCTAAATCATTGGATGTGCTAGAGAAACTGAGGACGCTAAAATGTTAAATGCTGTTTAGTATACTTTACTCTTGAAGACTGGTCATGCCTGCATCTTTCACGAACCTGCGCCTTTGGTGTGCTATGAATTGTGATGGGTTGTCCTGGCAAACGTAAGCTGTGATTGATGTATAAATATGTGTGCCCTTGCCTATGATTTAGGTTTCCAAAACTCTTACTGCTTTAACCATGGGATCAAGAGCATTTAGACTAGTGTTTGTGATCAGATTTACTACTTTTGCAGCCCCCACTCCTACCATTTTGCAGTGATGATGAGTCAATTCTTTTCCCTTCATTGAGGGGTGTTTCTGTGGTTCTTAATTTTCAAGCTTTTATTGATTGGACAGCCTAAAGGCTAAAAAGGGCAAAATATAGAATTTTTTATCTACTTCAAAAATGTGGCAAATTTTGGCGTCTCCATGTAAAGTTTCTTGTTATCATGGTGATCTTATTTTAGCTTATAAAGCTATCTCACTCTCACCATTTGTTTTATTTGTGCCCCCCCCCCCCCCAAAAAAAAAAACAAATATATATATATATATATATATGACATCATTTACTTCATGTTGCCAAGTACCATTTTATAAGGAAAAATTGCAAATACTAATAAAGCAAAATAAATGCAGTTTGGAATCTTAGTTTCTCCAAAAAGAAATATAAGTTTCTAAAAACACCCTTTCATATTTAATAAGGGAGAAAGTGAAAAAAACAAAAAAAGACATTTGAGGTGTGAAATGATGAGAGATAATTTCGGAATAAGCTTCATTAATGAATTATTATTTTTCTCAAAATATCTTATATTATGAAATATCAAATCACTCTGAAAACATTTTATAAAATGGGACGGAAGGAGTAATGAGAAAATCACAGGACAAACTAATTTATTTTGTTATCATTTATTAGTTTGTCAGCAAGTTGTATGGCGTGCTTTTTATTTCCGATTCAGGCAGAATTGGCTTCTAAAATCTTATTTTGATGGTAGTAATGATCAATCACCTTGGAGGATCTGGAGAATCAATACAATAGACTATAGTTACTTGAAAGTTGAAACACTAGTCCAGAATATATGTATATATATATTGTTGATTTGTTGGCCTAAGTGATGTTGGCCTTGGGATAGGGAGCCTGGCTTGTGGTTGTACGTTGATAATTGCGTGTTATTGTGGTTATGCCTTAAGTTGATGTTGATTTCATTTTGCACAGAAAGTAGTCAAGGAAAAAAATGCACTTGCTGAAAGATTGAAGAGTGCTGAAGCTGCACGGAAGAGATTTGATGAAGAACTGAAAAGATATGCAACAGAAAATGTCACTCGGGAAGAAATACGAAAATCGCTTGAGGATGAAGTCCGTAGATTGACTCAAACGGTTGGACAAACTGAGGAAGAAAAGAGAGAGAAGGAAGAGCAGGTTGCTAGGTGTGAAGCATATATTGATGGCATGGAATCAAAATTGCAGGCCTGCCAGGTTTGTTCAACGTGGTGTTTGCCCCAGTCTCTCGTTTTTAAGCGCCTGAAGTCCTCCAGTTAAAAAAATTATCAAAGTTTAGAATCGGCTTTAAGGAAGTATTTATTTAATGCCCAAAAAAGTGGCTTGTTTGCACGATTGTTGACAACGTTTTAATGTTTAGAAGGTGTTTGATCTCCAATATATGGTTTTCCTTTTTGCAGCAATATATTCACACGCTGGAATCTTCACTTCAGGAGGAAATGTCACGTCATGCTCCTCTCTACGGTGCTGGTCTGGAGGCTCTATCAATGAAAGAGTTGGAAACACTGTCACGTATCCACGAGGAAGGGCTGAGGCAGATCCATGCCCTTCAACAGCGTAAAGGGAGTCCAGGTGGCAGTCCTCTTGTGAGTCCACACGCCCTTCCACACAATCCTGGATTATATCCCTCTGCCTCCCCTCCATTGCCCGTGGGGCTCCCTCCTTCCCTCATTCCAAATGGGGTAAGCATCCACAGCAATGGCCACGTCAATGGTGCAGTGGGGCCCTGGTTTAAGCACACTTGATTGCTTAGGGTTTTAGTGCCGAAAATTGATCCTTTAGCATTTATTATAGCTGGTTGAAAAGTTGGAGCAGGATGTTGGGTATGGTGAATAGGGAAGAAAAAAGGGTTTGGTGAAATTTTGCCTATAAAGGTAGCGAGTCCCATGGAACTGGAGGCTGCAAATCCCATTCTCATTTGCTTCTTCCCTTTTTTTTTTTTTCTTTTTGAGGGGGAAAAAAATCACATGTTTTTTTTTAATTATTTTATAGTTTCGATGCCCAATTTTTCCAAAGTTGCTTCTTCCTTAGAAGCTAGGCATTAGATTCCAAGGCTCGGCCCTGCTAATGAATCATAAAATGTTGGAATTTCTTGGCCAGAAATAAAATATTGGATTTAACACATTCCTCGTAATCCTTTCTTAAAAGTTGAACTGATAAATACGAATAATCATCTTTATTTTTGTTTTTTAATTATTTTGCTCGAATAATACTTTTCATTTAACCATCATAAATCTTGCGAAGACGTCGCAAGATATTCCAGCAGGCCAATTTTAGGCGCAATTATCGATATCAATATTTATTTTATTTGTGTAGAAAAATATTAAATCAATAATCAAAACAATATATTAAATGAGAATCCTTGAATATGTTCAATTATTGTTTTTTGTTTTGCCAAAAATGTTCAATTATTGTTTAATTACTAATTTTTTGGCTAATGGATTTAATTACTTTTGATAGGCACGCGATTTCAACATGCATATAATAAAAAAAATTGACTCATGCATGTGAATGTCACGTATAAATTTGCATTATAATCTGAGCATAATTGGCAATCAGTACTAGGAATTGAGCAAAGTCTAATCGAATTGAGATGGAGTTACGACAGTGGGAGCCTAATATTAAGCCTCCTGAGCCACACGGAGTGCATCACCATGTACATTAAATCATATGGCCTGGCTGGCCGATGCACCACAAAATGTCGCTGCACTTCTATCACCTTCTTTTGCTTCTGCAAATACTCTTCCATTGAAATCCCTTCTAATATCTCTTTGATATTTCCTATCTTTGAACTTGGAATGTGAACCGAGAACTGCGTCCAGTTCAGAACCTCGCTAAATGGCAACACGTAGTTATCAGATATAATCACCGGCACACAAGCCGCGTATATAGCCTCAACAATTCTAGGGCTCGCCACTTCATATCCACTAGGGCACAAGCAGTACCTACTATCTCCCATCAATTCATTGTAGTTTTCTGTTTTAGGAAGATACTCGTGAACTTTAATATCTTCGTCTTTGTCTTTCCAATACTTGAAGAGCGTTTCTCTTACAGCGCCGTGAGCTCCACCGGCGAAGAAGGCCAAAATGGTCCTGTTGCTTGGAGGCTTGCTCATGTAAGGAGGACCCAATCCTCCGTACGGGATTTTTATTTCTGGCAATGGCACGTCTCTCGTGGGTAGAAACCCTTCTGAAGTGTTGGCGTTGCAGAGAACCCTAATCAAGTTCCTGAAAAGCTTCGTGTTGGCCGCCGAAACATCTGGTGCCTGATTATATTGAAAACAAATTATACATACATACATACATACATACATACATATAGAGCGAGAGAGAGAGAGGCATCGTGTAGTAATGGAAACAAAAGTGTACGTACCCAGTCGTGGCAAGAAAGCATAAAATGGTCGGCGCCTCTGGTTTGATTCCAGAAAGGGTATCTGTGAGATACCAAATGTATGTAATCTCGGAAGATTCTCTGAAGACGAAGACGAGAGTAATTGATGTAAGGTCTATAGACGTAAAGCACGATATTAACGACGCTAACTGGTAGGAAGAAAGAGATGGCCTCTTGGGGGTCCTTGGCTAGAAAAGGACTCTGCCCACTTTCAAACTCAGCCATGAATTGCCCTTCAATGGAGTATATATCATTCAATGGTCCATTGTGAAATATGGGTGCCTCTCCTTCCTTGTACACCCATATTCGGAAACGCTTCTCCATTTCTCTGTGACTCCTGTTTCATCCATTGTCAAAAACACCATAAATATATATATATATATATATATATATCATATCTGAGCAGATTTATGGCTTTACAATATACTTGTACTTTGATTCTTTTGACTCTTAAGACAGCTCTATTGAAAGCATTAAGTCTTATCCCTTGGTATGATCAGAAAGGTAAGTTATTGTAGTTAAAGCATAACCCAGCTAGCGGATAAATTTTAATTTGGTGATGGTAGCTAGGTCTGCTAATTAATCGAAATGCACGAGGTAATTATTAAATAATGAGGGGACCATAATGCAAGTCGAAGTAGCTAGGGAGTCATATGGCGGTTGTGCATAGTGGAGAATTTCAGCATATATATGTTACTAATTCGGTGAATAAATTTTCATGGAGCATGCTGGAGTTTGCAGGCCTACACGAGTTATGTTCCTTGCCATATGATTTTGGTTCAAAATCTGAGGCTATCCAGTACCCATGCATTCTCTTTCTTTCAACTTGCAAACAAATTACAATGTGATTTTTATAACTAGGTTCCTTCTTTCTCTCGTTGTGTCTTGACTAAATTGTTTCATTATCAAGTTGCATCTTCAGTGGGTAAGACAAACACAATTAATGAAGCACTCGACTTCCATATCTGTTCTTTTGTTAATTTTATGCAAAACTTAAATGTTGAGGTTTGTGACATCCTATTTTACATGTTTTTAAAGGCCAAAAATTATGAAGCTACGTACTTACAAGTACTTTATACATCCCTATGGTAATTTACTGGTTACCCTGATTGCAGGTTACCATACTCTTCGTTTGCTTTTATAACCGGCGTCAAGTTTTCAGTAAGTTTTATTTATGATGCAATAACTAGAACATTCAAAAGTAAAGTGGATTAAAAAGTGGGATCTAAGATCTTAACTGATGAAAGGCGTAAGGGTTTAGGTAGAGAGATCCAGTGGGAAGAAAGTCCCCATCGTCAATGAAAGAAGCATATGACCGTGTTCGAGCAGCTTCTCGTATTGCCCACCGAGCCCTTGCCAATCCATATTCTACACTCTGCAAATGACTCGCTACTCTGGGAGGCCGCTTTACCATACCAGCCATTATTATTATAAACAGAAACAACAATTCATATTGATCAAACTACACTAAAAAAAAAGGAGACTGGCAAGCTTACAGTATTGTTCGCGGTGGTCGCATTGGGAATGGCGAAATCTTTGGAAGAATGCAGAAGGGAAGAGTTACAGCGGTGAGCTCGAGAGGAGGAGCACAAGTGAAGATGATGACGAGTGATATAAGTGAAGAGAAGCAAGAGAATGAGACAAGTGTAAACAAAACATGAGGCGTAGCAGCGCAAGAAGTAGAACCCCCTTTCCATGGGGATTCAGGCTCAAACTAGTACCTAAGATTATACATGAGGCGTAGCAGCGGAACGTTCTTGTGGGCTAAACTTGCTCGTAGAATTTTCATTGACATATTGGAGGAGGATATATATATATATATATATATATATATAAGATTTTACATTGTTGATGATGAGAAGCACGTGTCCCCGTGTGTGTGTGTGTGTGTGTAAGCAGCATCATCACCGACATATAAACAGAGAGAAGAGGATTAGAGGAAGGCTAGAGAGGAGAGTAGTGGGGTGGTAGAGCGGCTGGTAGGGGATGTCTATTTATAGTTCTCTATGCTTTGCCCCATGCACGCACGCGGTCCTGGGAGGTTATTGTGGTTGTACCGTATACTACCGCTAGTTGTTTAGTTTTTGATTCCCTTACAAAAAGGGCCACTTATATATGTACGACCAGATGATTGTTATTTTATATTTCTCAAGACTTACATCCATGATCCCTCGCACTTCTCTTGGGAAATTAATATTTTACAAATTTTATATTATATCTAATACTCCTCCTACCCTAGTTTATAGATAATTTTAGAGGTGATCTGTTGAGTTAACATGCAAGACAATTCAACAAAAATAAAGTTTTATTAAATAATTTTTTAATATTACTCGTATCTTTTTATTATATTCTCTTTTTCTTTATATTTCATTAAATGAAAGATATTTTTTAAAAATTCATATTTTTTTTAAAAAATAAGATTGTAAAATATATTTAATAAATTTTATTAGTATATATAATTTTATTTAAAAGTATCTTGTCAATCATGATGGAGGAAGTAGATTGGTACATCAAACATGTATACGCTACAAATAATATTCAGATTAATACTTGAAAATTGAAATTTTCTCAATGTGTACAAGTTAATTATCCTGAATAAAATGTCAAATCATTTTTAGTTGGCGCGAACAAGTGCCGAGAAAATGACAGTCGACCATGGGGGAATTAAAAAACATAAGTGGAATTTGAATTGTATTCTCCAAAGCATAATTCTGATCCCAAAGTGCCTTTGTTGATTACTTTACAGACCTATCGAACATTGCCAGAAGTAACCAGAATCCACACGACCATACACGCCATAAATAAAGCTATGCTTTTCTTAAACTCTTGGAAGAGCCTCCAAATTAAAGGATTAAACAATGAAAGACGAAATGAAAAGAAAAGCACATATTACTTTCTTCATTGCAGGGACTTCCTAGCAACAAACCGTTTGTATTACTTCGTCAGTAATCAATTTTAAGTTAGCCGCCACAGCACTTCTTCGTCCCAACATCACTAATTAGCGAGCCTCATGCTCATCACAAAATCCATGTCTGCACTCCAACTTCAAGTCTGAATCACATTACTGCTCCAGTTGTTGGAAGATGGGCTTCATCAGTGGCATGATCATGGGCATCGCCCTTGGCATCTCTTTGACCTTCGCTTTTGCTCGTTTCCAAACTTGCCGATCCAAACGTCGTTCCGATTTGGTACAGGACTGGATTCATCCACATTCTTTCATTTCTTCCACTTTCTATGACCATATTTGACCGTTGTTGTTGGATGTTGAATTCTCGATCGCTGGTTTAAGGCGATGGCTATAGCCGCTTTTGCCAGGATGATGAAGATGGAAGATTGTAGAAGAGTTATTCCCCCCGAGTCCTGTCCCCCCTGGGTAGTTTTCACTCGCAGACAGAAGTTAAGTTTTCAACTTCGTCTTCTTGCTTTCCTTTTTTCTTTTTTTTCTTTTTCTGTTAATGAGACGAGGCTTCTCATCTGATGTTACTTCTTCTATCATCTGCAGTTGAATTGGCTCAATACCCATCTCCAGAAAATCTGGCCGTATGTTAATCAGGTAATTTGCTTCCATTTTTGTTCTATCATGATTTTGCTCTGACTCGATAATTTCGCATAGGCAGCGTCAGAGTTGATAAAAAGCAACGTGGAACCCATTGTCGAGCAATACACACCCAAAATCTTGTCTTCAATCACCTTCTCCAAGTTTACTCTTGGTACTGTGGCACCTCAATTCACAGGTCACTTCCATACTTTCTCTTTCAACCTTGTTTGCCCAGCCAATGGTAGACTAGTCATGCTCTTCATCGATTTGTAAATATGTTGGTGTAGCGATTCACGAATGTTGGTGAAATTATATGTAGGAGTTGCCATTGTTGAAGAAGAAAGTGGGGCTGAAGGAGTGACTATGGAGTTAGAGATGCAGTGGGACGGTAACCCCACTATTGCATTTGATGCTAAAACTAGAGTTGGTGTTGTAATACCTGTTAAGGTATGACATTTTCCACTATAATCAATAGTCAACCTCAATGATGATATGCATATTTCAGACTGTTTTTTTTTTTTTTTTTTAACGGGGTCTAAATATTTTCATATAGGTTTCCGTTGTCTTTATGTCAACTGAACTACATATACAAACTTCTTGTTGATCCATACTTATTGGTCTGTGCAATTTAAATGTAGGTAAAAGATGTTGAATTCACTGGGGTTTTCAGGTTGATCTTCAAACCATTAGTTAACGAGTTCCCTTCTTTTGCAGCTGTCTGTTATTCCTTGAGAGAAAAGGTGCGCTCTTTCTCATTTTCAACTTCACGCTTTCGCTAGGAAATTGAATCAAACTAATTCCAATTTTGTTTTGCCACATGTAATGGTACATGTTTAAGAAATAGTTGACGTACTTTTTTTTATTTTTGGGTTTTGCCAACAGAAACATCTGGACTTTACTCTTAAGGTTTCTGGTGGGGATATTTCAACTCTCCCAGGCATATCTGATGCTATAGAGGTATGAACAAAACAAGTCTTTCTGTTATTTCTATTATGCCTTGATTCTATAGTACCTGCAGTTGAATCACCAATATTTTAGAGGGTGTTGAGTTGTAAGTGTCCCATATAATCTTTACTTTTAACTTGGATTTCCCAGTTGTTCAGTAATCCAAGACAGTAATAGTGTTATTTATATATAGGAAACAATTCGAGATGCTATTGAGGATTCTATAACCTGGCCAGTACGCAAAATTATACCAATTATACCAGGGGATTACAGGTATATTTAATTAAACTCTCATTTTTCCCAGATCTAATAGTCAATGCTTTAATTTTTTGTGCTCTCACAGCTTCCTGGAGTCAAAACCAGTTGGGATGCTGGAAGTAAAACTAGTGCAAGCAAAGAACTTGGCAAACAAAGATCTGATTGGCAAGTCCGATCCTTTTGCTGTTTTATTCGTCCGCCCACTTCGTGACAGTGTCCAATCCAGCAAAACAATCGTGAGACCACCTTCCACGTTCTTTCAACGCATGTTTTCTTCATCTTATGATGTTAACTATTTTAGATAATTGTAATGGAATGTTGCAGAACAACGAGCTGAATCCAGTATGGAATGAGAACTTCGAGTTCACTGTGGAAGATGCATCAACTCAGCACTTGACTGTAAGATTATTTGATAATGAAGGCATTGAGGCTGATCAGCTCATTGGGTGTGCCCAAGTGCCGCTAAAGGACCTTCAACCTGGAAAAGTTCAGACTTTTTGGCTGAAACTGGTCAAGGATTTGGAGGTCCAAAGGGATAAAAAATACAGGGGTGAGGTAATAATAATAAAGATAATATCAGCAACATCCTTTTATTTCTTCGCTGTCCTGTATCCTTCTTCTGGCCAGTCCTGTGATGTAGAGATTTCTGAAACATAGGTGAACTTGGAGCTCCTGTACTGTCCATTCGGTGTTGAAAGCATCTTTACAAATCTGTTTAGTAGTAGCTTCGGGCTAACCACTTTCGAGAAGGCTATTAAGAGTACGTCTGAGCAGACACAGGGTGGTGATGTTAACAAATCACAGAGAAAATATGTGATAGTAAGAGGAGTACTGACTGTGACAGTGTTATCAGCTGAAGACCTACCAGATATGGACTTATTGGGCAAAACTAATGCTTATGTGGTGCTCATGTTGAAGAAAGCAGATCAAAAACTCAGGACCAGGGTAACAACCCTGCACATTTTATTGCACGAGTCTCATGCTTTCATTAATTTCTGCATTCTTGAGATTGTAAAGCCCTCGTGTTGTCAGGTTGCAGCATCAGGAGTAAACCCTGTTTGGAATCAAACATTTGACTTCGTTGTGGAAGATGCATTACATGAGATGTTAATTCTTGAAGTCTGGGATCAAGATCTCATCGGGAAGGTGATTTCCAGAACCTGCTTTGTTCATTTACTTCTGTATCAGCTGTATTTCTCTGAGAGTTATGCTTCACTACAGCTACAACGCTTCATGTGTGAGTGTTTCAGGACAAAATTGGAAGAGTGATAATGACACTGACTAGGGTGATCCTAGCAAAGGAAGTTCAGGAGAGTTTTGCACTAGATGGAGCTAAATCTGGAAAACTTAATCTGTATCTTAAGTGGACTCCTCAGCATAAGTATCGAGATCCCTAATTGCTCTCCCTCACATTGATGGAACAAATAAATAGAGGGAGGATGTTATATTGGCGATTTTTATACAGAAAGTCCAGTAACATCTAGTTTCAGGGGGCAATCACATATTTTGATCCTCTACTAATTATATGAATTAAATTGTAATCGACTAAAATTAAAAGATATGAATAAAATTGAGTGACAATTATACTTTTGTAGAATTTTTTTAGTCAAACCACCTTATATTCTGAAGTTAGATTACACTGAGATTAACCTTATGTCAAACCATGAAGAAATGTAGAAAAACAAACACACAAGTGAAAAATCATATTAGGATATGTTCTATCTTGAGGCAACTACTTTACTACAAAAGATAGCTTAATTTAAGAAACTATCAACACAAATCATACGGCATCATATTTGTAACTATGATAAAAGTATTGTGATTGATATATGCAATTAACCGTGATATCTTAATTAAATAATACATGCTAGTATTAGATTCGGCTAAGAATTAAATCATAATTTTGGAAAAATTAATTTAATCAAATATTTAATTAAATATTAATTTAATCATATTCTGCTAATTAAATCATATTTAATTCTTAATTTTGGAAAAATTAATTTAATCAAATATTTAATTAAATATTACTTAATTTCATATGATTTAATTCAATTAAAAAACCTCATTAAATATTTTGAACCATCAAGCACGGATCGGAAATCCACCAAAGAATAAAGACAAAAATATCCGAATAAAAAAATAAGTAATTAAAAAGGAAAAAAGAATCTGGAAAAGATAAGAAGCAATGCCATTTTGTCCTCTAGCTATGAGCGGAGCAAAGAATTTGGCGCGCGCACGTACACTAACCTGTTGACCGGTAGTAGTAAGTAGAGTTGGCGTTGGCGGCAACGGCGGAGCTACATTGGCTTGAGGGTGCATTTCACTTTGGCGAAAATTATAAGTAAGGCAAGTAAAATTTATAATTTTATATTTTTCTTTTGTGATATTCTATCACCTTTAAACTAAATAAAAATATTTAAATTCAAAAACTTATTAAATATATAATATTTTAATAATTTAGATAAGATACAAAGAACATGAAACCATATGGTATAATTTTTTGAAATGAAAATAATAATAAATCTATTTATATTATTATAATTTTAATTTTAATATAATTATTATTATTTTAAAAAAATATTAATCTTTTATTTAATTATTCCGCACCCCTTAAGATCCCTGGCTCCGCCATTGGTTGGCGGTCTCTCTGAGAGTCACCTTCTAGCTTCTACCTCTACCTACCTGTCCGCCCACTCGCTCCCAGAAGCCAACCACCTTTCGTGATTTCATCCTCATCCTCAGCTCTTATGGATCAGTTCCACACCCCAAGTACAGATACCCAACGTCTCCTAACTCTGTTAGAAGCACTCCGAGAAAGTTCCAAAGATCTTCAAGCCAACCCCATCCCCTTTCTCTTCAAGATTGACTCCAAGGTCGCCATTGAAGCTATTTTGGAGCTCGAAAGCAAGGCACTCGCCATTTTCTCTGCCAATCCAGATCTTCACAAGCTCTCTGAGTTGCTCCGTTCCCTCAGAAACTTAATCGACAAGCTTCAGAAATATGAAGGTTTTTGGCTCCGGTCGCTCCTTAACCGCCAAATCACCAATTACAAGATTTCCCGTGTTGCATGTGCTATTGAGTCCGAAATTCAAGCGTACGTTGATCGATTAGCCATTAAAGGACTCGTTAAAGCCCTTGTAGAATCGGCGAACGAGGACATCAAGGTGAATGTTTTGATTGGTTTTGAGAAGAGACTGTCGCGGGGTTTTGATATAGATTTTCAGGATTTGGTTTTGAAGGCCAAGGTATTCAATGTTCTTGAGCATATACTCAGTGATCCATTGAGTTCAAAGCGGGTTCGGGAACAAGCGGCTATGGCCATAGCCGCCCTAGTTAAGTTCAACAAGAATGTATTTGTCGGACTGGTGCTAATGGGTCCGACAATTAAGGCCCTAATAGCAATGGGAATGGCTTCAAGCTGTTCGATACAAGTCCTGTCATCTCTGATAAGATTCATTAGAAGCCCATTGGTGGATGAACTTCTGGCAACTGGAGAAATCCCAAGAATTATCAACCTTTTATGTTCGGACGACTTGTCGATTCAAGTTGCGGCCCTCGATTGCGTTCTTGAACTTGCTTATATCGGGAGAGATGAAGTGATTGAAGCGATGCTCAAAGAAGACCTGATTAGAAAACTCATAGACTTGCAAAGAATGGATTGGCGTGACGAGAATGAGAGAGAGACTTCCCTAGGAACAGAGTCAGAATCCGAATTGAAGGATTTTCCATTTGCTAGCTGTGTTGCAAGGTTTGCTATCCAGTTAGAAGTGGGTGAAGGATTGAATAAGGAAGAGAAGAAAGAGTTTAAGTTACAAATCCTGAAGATGGTGAAGGAGGCTGCACAATCAGATGCAGAGGTTGCCACCATAACCGCTGAGGTGCTATGGGGCTCTTCACCTTGAAACTGGGTTCCAACATAGGTCAGTTTCTTTATGAACTCGGATCAATTCGGTGCTCATGGATCCAACCCAATTGGGTCACCCCGCATAGCGTTCGATTGTGTCGGTGGTGAGTGAGCATTGATGAAATGTCCTTATACTTGTACATGGTTCGGTTGGGTTGCATGGGGGAAATTGTGAAGAGTGAAGACGCAGTAGGATTGAGTATAACCATTGGGGAAACCTGCGGGTACAGATTACAGAATAACTTGTTGCTGACTTTTGACAGACTTGGTTCACGTATATAACTTCAAAAAAGCAGATAAATGAATGAAATAATTTATACAATCCATTGGCACCGTTTTTACGTTTATACGATTCATGTGTTTCCATGTACCAGCGTTTTCTAGCGGTAAATCTCTTGGCAGAATGATCGCCTTACAGCTTACTTTACTTTAAAGAAAGCCATAAAGAATTCATTATTGCTATGGTGGGAAAAAAAAAAAAAAGGTGTCCCATGCTTCCCATCCCATTAACCCATAGTTGTTCCCCAGAAGAGCAGACATTCACTTATGGCAGCCAAAAAGTAACCCATTGCAACAATTTCTTAGAAATAAAAGTTTTTCTTGTCATTGACAAAAGTCAAAGTTAAATTAATTGATTTTTTTAATTATATGTCTTGTTTATTTATAATCACTTGATCTACGCAAAAATGTAATATGATTATTATTGTAAAAATAGTAAAATTAAGAAGTTATATATATTTTTTAACAATTTTAACAATATGATTATCATTGCCTATCTAGGCAATTGTTGATGGGATGTTTGCTTACATACATGATGTCTAATTTACCTTTTACAAATAGTTTTCATGAATAATAAATTATATATAAATTTTTTGTGAAAATGTAAATTATGTATATCATAGTTCACATAATACATGTTGGTTTAATTAGATTGACATCTATTTAGCTAATGCTCCCCATGCAATGCATGAAATAGTAAATGCTATTCCCTCTAGTCCTATTTATAAGGTAGATGGAGAAGAATTTTTTTTTGTCTTATTTATAAGTCATGTTATTAAATTTTCATTACAAATTTTCTCTTTTACCTTCCATTAAATGTTGGAGAAAAAAATATGTTATTAAAGTATGTATATTTAATAAGGGTAAAGTTGAGAATTTATTAAATTTTAATATAGAGTTAATGAGTTTTAAGATTTTTTTTGATACTAGTGAAATGTGTTAGAAGTGACTTATAAATAGGATCAGAGGAGTAGTTTTTTTATAAACGCAAAGTTTGTTAAGTTTATTTTATATCAAGGATTAAGGGAAATATATTTCAATTTATCTTTGAGATTTTTTTTTAAAATCATTTTATCAAAATCCCCAGTGACCTGTATGACAAATGGCAGCAAAACTTTGCATGATAGGGTGGGGTGGCATACTGTGTAGAAACCAAATTCGTTAAACATCTGTGGATGTTATTGTTGAGACTTGTGTGGCCTTGTCATCTAAAACTTATTCATATTTTCCTGTTTCAGGCCTCTCGCTATTTTTGTGCCCTTCTTTCTGAAGGGGCTTACTGTTTGTATTACAAGTCTAATCACCAACTGGTGATGAGCATGACAAGCATGTTTAACCCTCGGATGCCAAAAGAGATAAATATCCAGATCCAGAGCTTTCCTTTTCTTTTTTGTTACATAAGGCTAGCTAAGAACTTGAAAAGGCAGGGACCAACAAAAAACTGGAAAAGATTAGAAGCTGTGGGACATGTCCCCACATTTGTCAGATAAAATGAGAGGCTCACATCCTGCAGGAGAGATACTAATATCGACTAATTCATATGAACAATCATGCGCCAAATTGGCCATGTAGTCAGCACAAGACATTGCTTCCCGCAGGGCATGGAGGATCATGTAATCCTTTTGGGCGAACATCAAATCTTGCACTTCAACAATATCTTCATAAAATGGGTGGTTATAGTCAACCCCTCTGAAATGATATTAATTGCTTCTATCGAATCTGTGTAGATCCTCGCCTTATCAAGGTTTAGTTTCTTGCATATTTCAATCCCATACTTAATGGCTTTCAGTTCAGCAATACTAATTGGAAAATTGCCCAGGTTTTGCATAAAACCTCGTACCCATTCACCTTCAGAATTCCTTACTAATCCCCCGCACGCAGCATTATTTGTGGATTAAGTCCTGCATAGCAGCAAAAGGGCTGTTTTTGGTCTTTACGCCTAATTTGTTAGTCCAATAATAGAAGGCAATAATGACATGAGGCCCACTAGAACAATCAATTAAGGTTAATAAGCTCGAAAAAATTTAAAATCGAGCTACTTCTTTAAAATATAAAATGATAAATAGGACTTAAAAAAGTTAATCTTTTTAAACTTAAAAATAAAAAGGTCAGTACTTTAAGATTAAAATCGGCTCTTTTAAACTTGATTATATATATATATATATATATTTAAAAAATTAATATAAAAAATAAACACTATATACTAAAAGAAAACCTAACTTGCCTCGCTCGTAGTCATAGTCCTTCACTTGCTTGATTTCATTTACACTCCCTACCATTGCAACCTTGCTGCATCCATCCTCCTTTCCTTCCTCTACATCTTGCTCCGTCCATCGACCAACTCTAGCAACGGCCTAGGGTGGCAACCCTCATTTCCTTTGCACTCCATCATTGCTTTGTCCCTTGTCTTTGCT